GCGTCTAGACTGTGTCTGGCAAACTCAACAACCAATCCATCTTTGAGGTGTCAGGATGCAGGTATCTTCACTCAACGCGTCTGGGTGTCCGGCAATCTCCAATACAAATCAATCTGTGAGGTTTCAGTATGCAGCTTTTGTCACTCAATGCATCTTTATGTCCGGCAGTCGCAAACGTCACCCAACCCGTTAGGTCTCAATATGCAGCTTTCCTCACTCAAAGCGTCCATGTGTCTGGCACTATCCAACATCACTCAATTCGTGAGGTTTCAGTATGTAGCTATCCCCACGCAGCGCGTCTATGTGTCTGGCAAACTCAAAAACCAATCCATGTGTGAAGTTTCAGTATGCAGCTATTCTCACTCAACACGTCTATCTGTCCGGCAATCTCCAATACAAGTGAAGTTTCAGTATGTGTCTTTCCTCACTCAAAGCGTATATGTGTCCGGCCCTCCAACACCACTCAACCCGTGGGGTTGCAGTATGCAGCTATCCCCATTCAACCCGTCCATGTGTCTGGCAATCTCAACCCTCACTCAACCCTTGGGGGTTTCAGTATACAGCTATAATCACTCAACACGTCTATGTGTCCGGCAATCTCCTACATCACTCAACCTGTGAGGTTTCCGTAAGCAATCCTCACTCCACTCATCCATGCGTCACGCGTCTTTGGTAGCGCATACTATGGGGGCTATATTTGGGGTGGCGTGTTTTACAGCGCTTTGCCAACAGCGCCAACCCACTTAATTCTAGAATGGGGGGGACTTGGGAGGCGATGAATCGCTCGTTTTGTTGAGAAGTAGGACGGTCGTGTACGTGTGGAGCTCCCGCGAAATAGGCAACAGGTTCAAATCAGACTCAGCCAAAAACGCAAATCAGCGATGGCGGCGTGGTTCGAGACTGTTGTCGGTCAAAGGCTGTGGCAGGCTGCCCTTTGATATGCTGGTTGTGGCCATTCCTGTATCCGTAGGCTTCTTCTTCCGAATGAAAAATCTAAGGAAACATACCAGGAACAACCGAAAGACATGGAGCACAAAAGAGTGGGAGTCAAGCAGAAACAAGGTCGATCTTCTGACCCCCGCATTATTGTTGTGTTCACGCCGTGTGCCAACCACGACATTGCATCCGGCTGGGGCGGGTTAGGTGCGTGTCGACGCGTGAAACCAACAAATGCCGCGGTACCCCGTTACTGTTGCCGAGCCACAGCAGTCTGCCAATCGCCCACGGGTCAGGTCTTGACCAAGCATGACATTATGTCGAGTCGACCGAGTTGTTTTTGTCTTTTTCAGGATACGATCGAGGAGTACTTGAACGGCTGGAATGACGAGGACGAGGAGGACGAGCAGTTCTCGACACCGATAGACGATGTCGACCTGAGGATGTTCTTCTACGAGGTGATTGTTTCCCTATCGATCGACCAATGACGATGCACTGCCTCACGCGTTCGTTGTATTGAAGCGGCTGCGTCTTGGAGCAATTGAGAGACAGGTGCCATGTTTTCAAGCTTGAACGGTTGGCGTATGCGACATAATTCTCCACGTCGGATATTTTGACATCTCGTTGACGTCATCTCTCGCGTGTGAATGGACCCCGTGTAATTACTACAGTCGTTCCGCGTGGCAAACGAGCGAGAACCGGAAGCCATGCTGCGGCTCCAGCAACAGCTCAAGCCAGAAACGCTCAAGGAGTGCCAGGAGCATTTCGCAGAGGCGCAGAAGCAACAGGCAGCGACGGCCGCGGCGGCCGCGGCGGGAGGTACACCAGCATGACACAAACCTTGCGGGGCCGTGACAAACGCATGTGGCGTAAGAAGGAATTGGCGGCAAAGTATACCGTTCTAGACATGGGGTGACGCGTTGGCGGAAAGGCTCCTGGTTGTATTTGCAGGGGGGAGTGCGGAGGCACAAAAATTTGTAGACTCGGATTGGTTGGAGGGACGAAGCGGGCCGATTTGTATGCTTCTGTTTTCTGGGGAAGGATGACGCCCAATGTGAAAGAGGGGATCGCTCTTGACAGACGCCGGGAAGATTAATCCTTTACTTTTTGCGTAGGTCTGTCCTCGACAGGTCGACCCTTTTTTCCACGGATAAGTAGGTCTCACCTCCCCTGAGGGGGCGATGCTGGAACTGATCAGAGATGCCCAGTGGTTCCAAGAAGATGTGTGCCTCTGGATATCATATGGATGTGCTCGTGGCTTTCGACCGGAACTAAGAGCGATATTTTGCCCCTGTGTTGTTGTATCATGTACTTCTCTTGGCGGGGTGTGCCAGCGAAAATTCGTCTCAAACGCCCTTGTCGCACAGACCTGAAGTTTCGTTTGGTCAAGGTATTAACTTTCGTCGTAACGGACGCGTCGTGGTTGTCGTAAATCGAGTACATATCCGATACACTGAGCAGCTCGTGAGGGTGCGACACTGTGTAGTTCGGTCTTCGTTTGTTCACAGTCCATTGGCTGGTCCCCCTAGAAGCGTCAAGGTCGTGGTTCTCGAGAGGGTAAGGGTTGGGTTAGGGTCTGTCTGTCCTCTAGCTGAAGAGCTGCGATCCGGGTTCACACAAAAAGTTTTTCATGTATGTCATGTAACACCGCTTGAACAAGTTGGTTTGAACTTGTAATGCACAATCCGTGAGAATCCCTACTGCCGCAAAATGTTTGGCTCTGGTTGACTTGGTCTAGCTTGGTACTCAATGAAGCGACTTTGGGAACGGCATGCAGTGCTCCCTACCGTCGATCGATTCCCGAGGTCGAGACAAACACAGGGAACCCCTGCGAACTCTGCTCGTCGGTTCTGTTGTCATGAACAGTTTGCGAACGTGTTTGGGGATTACGTTCCGGGGATCTAAATCGGACACGTACTCGTAGAATACTGCGGTGCAACAGACAGCAGATTTTGCTTGTCGACGCAAGACGAACACCGCCCTGGTATAGAGTCACCACGACCCGCTGCTCATGTGCGTGGAAGAAGTGATTTGAGCCAGAGATAGCCCCACAATCACATGGTTGCAGTGAGCGTTGGCGCTCGTTGTTCTTTCAATCCCTCAACCAGCGTTACTCATTTTCATTTTGTAAGGAGCACCAACACGAGCGCGGCCAGCTGCAGTAGTAATCGAGCAGGGTGTTGCCCACTTCTTCCTTTTCGCCAGCACTTCTCCGTACACTGATGGATTTGTGTTTTGGTCTACCAAGCACCAGCAGATACTGTCGTCCTCTGGTTGAATACGCAAATCCCTGGAGAACGCAACGCAGAAGAAGGGGAAACGCCCAAGGTACACGGTAAAGCACCCACTCCGGGTGCTGTTTTCGAGATATTTCAACATCCCCGTCGACTCATGCTTCTGCGGTACAACCAACCTTCACCTTTGCTTCATGACGCGTGTATGTTACATCCATAAACACGTGCATCGTACAGTCGGGCACCACTTCCGAAAATTTGTACATAACAGGAAATTGCCGAATTTTCGTCCTAGCTGCCTCTCGCGGCCGATGCCGTATCCCCTGTCCTAGAGTGCTTCTTGTCCGCCAAACGTGCTGCGAAGTAAGCACCACGCCTATTTCCTAACGCTACCCGCTATGATTCGGACCATACCTCCCTCCCTCTCACGAATGGTCCCCATTTGCGCTGACTTCGAGGGGCGATCTCGTGTCGGCCAATTGGCCAAGGTTCGAACGGATCCTAGACGGTTCTCCCTAGGACCACAAACACACCACCATTGAATGAAGTCTTTTCCTGTCAGTACCTACGCCGGATCCTGGCACACCCCAATCCAAATCACCAGGTTCATGGAGACGACCTAACTAGATGAGGCTGTATCTTCAGGCTGTATCTTCCGACTGTTCCGCGCAGCTAAGAAGATGCTGACGATCCTGTTGGGGATTGAAGGCAGGGTGTGGAGTGACAGCGTCACACATGTGGTAGATGGCACACCGTGCACAAATACACACCGGTGGCAGTATCGATCAGCAATGCCGCACAGACTTTTGCGCGCCGAAATATGCGTGCGACAGCTTTAACCTAACCACTTCGGTGGAAAGCGGATTTCTGTTCGATACGGTGTCGGGAGTGCTGAGGGGGGAGGGCTTGGCCGTTGTGGTTGAAGGTGGCAAGGAAGTAGGAACAGGGGGTGGCAGTGTCGGGGGTCTGGGGGAACATGGGCTTGAATGGGGGTTGCCTCAGAAAGAGCAAGACGGCGGATGTTTCTCTCTTGGTGTGACCGGTGGCAGTATCGATCAGCAATGCCGCACAGACTTTTGCGCGCCGAAATATGCGTGCGACAGCTTTAACCTAACCACTTCGGTGGAAAGCGGATTTCTGTTCAATACGGTGTCAGGGGTACCAGGGAAGACGGGGCCGAGTTTTGTTTGATTTCGGGTGGATGAGGTTGGGGTTTTGTTCGTTTTTCTCCATCTAAGGTTCGTGCCTAGAGTTCAGCTGTAGTGTTTCGACAAAAGTTTTGTTGACTTAGAGGCAAACATTCCTAGCTATTGGGCATCGAGTTAATTTGGCTTGGCATGACGGCCTTTACGATCGACTTTTATGTATGTCTGCATTTATCTGCAATTGTCGGAGGGCAAACAAAAAAAAATAATATTGATGGTGCTTCCACCGATCAGTCCAGAAAACAAACGACTTCAAATTGTAAAGAAAACAAACAAGGTGTATGCGGACAGACCGTTTTCAATAGAATATTCCTCCCTGCCTTACAAGCAATATCCAGCACCGCCCATGGGCATTGCTGGGAACGTCATGGCACCAGCAGGGTCTCCGTGGTGCTCGACTAATTCAACGTCTTGCTTCTTGCCACCAACCGCACTTTCATGGTCAACGCCCGGAGACTCTAGGCAGCCATCCGACACGGGAGCTTAATATTGCGATCGAGTGAACGCTTGAATCAGCGACGCCGTTACACTACCGGAGCTGAGGAATTCGGTACGAGCATAATACGTTTGAATCACAACGGAGCCGATACATTGCCGTCCCGGGTATGCACGCGCTTGCTCTGCAAGCCCCATCAATCGCCGCCGAGTGCAAGTGCCACCACTAGAAGCACAAAATCCTGTCGGGCATGTTCGCTTCGATTCCTCACTTACAGTCAATTCAACCAAGATAAAAACAAAACATTTCAAGTATGGTCAGCGCAGATACGGAGCAACATCGCTATTTATGAATGAAAGTTCACTTGTTTCGACACCTGTGTATCAAGTATTGCCTGTACTACAATTGCAGGAGAGGAAAAGCTGATGAGACACCAGAAGAAAAAAAAAACAGCCGGCTGCGGCAAGCCCCTAAAAAAACGCAAGTGACCGATCGCTAGGCCCACGTGGCACTGGCTCGCGTAGCCCTTAACTCCGATTCAAATAGGTTTCCAATCTTTTGCCAGGGTTGGCCGTATTGAACTCTAAGGTGCTCCATTGGAACTACTGCCTGACCTACCACGTCGAAAATTTTACACGGTGACTAGAGACATCCATTCTCGACGCCTTCTGTTCCGTGTCATATCTCATCGTGTCCCAAGTGCTTTTATTTCGCTCAGGCAACCTCTCGCAGGAAATCGGCAGTGGTGGTCCAGCTATGCCACGGTGTAGTGACAAGCGTCAATGACGGCGGTGTATCGTGTAGCAGCACGCACCGAAGAAGTCGTTTCCTCGAAATAATATCTTTCAACCTGTTCCCTCGATGACAAAACTGGAGTTGAACAGAGTCGCTTTCGCTTAACTACTATCACAGATATTCCAACGCACCTTCACTCATTGAGGGCTCGGCCTTGCACGAGAGCTCTACCCTAGCCAGGGCTGCTGGAATCTCTGACGTACTTTCCGTGTCGGGAGATTCTTCCGCCTTTCCTGTCCTCATGGCTGCCTCTGTCGTCGTGGTTGCTACGGCGTTCGACTCCGAGGATGCGCCAGTTTGGGCGTTAGTGGAAATTTCTGCGACGGCGTCGGGTGCCCGACTCACTGACGGTGACGACCAGGAACGCCTCCGAAATTTCACGGCAAACTGCGGGGGCGCTCGCTCTGCCCCCTCGATGAACCGGCCCGGGGTAATCTTCTGACCGGCGGAACGAACACGCTTCTTCGGTATGCTTTGGTCGGCAGCCCGGCCGCCGTCCTGCTGTCTGTTCCCATGGTGGCGTCGACCTGTCCTCTCCTCGCCTGCAACCTGCGAAGGTGTTGGAGTCTTGCGCTTGAACCCAAGTCAATCGCTTGCCTGAGTCGTCCTTGAAAAAAACTCTGCGCGGTATCCTCACCCCACCGAACAGTCCAGTCCTTCGTACCCCCTGTACAAGAGCCACAGTTGTTCCAGCGGGGGTGGGGAGGGTCTCGTCCACTCAATTGTTGAAGTGCGTCAACTGGTGCGTGTTCTGTCGTAACATAACCGATCTCGTGGGCAACGAGGTAGCTGTGATATCGCCATTCGGCGCAAATTAGGTCAGCGGCTACAGGATTGCTGTCTCTACGCGGCGGTACCATCTCGAGCAAGGATGCGTTCGAAAGAAACACGCCCACATTGGCTCGGGATCGGGCGACATTCTGAATAGCTATGCAAACGAGTTTCGCAGAGTAAAAGTGCAGGAGTCGACCACGCGCATCGTTCGAACCATGCCAACTCTCCTGCCTGAAATCGTATCACGTCGAGCAGTGTACTCACCGTACGCCACCGCTGGTGTCACTGGCACAAACCACCAGGCTCACATTGGTCCTTGCTCACCGGAGCACTCTGCAGTCGTCTCACAATACGCCGCATGCACAGATTTGAAGAGGAACAAACCGAGGTTACCCTAACTTACGCGCCTCATTAATCCGCCGTGCGTATGCGCTGCTGGCCTCATGATCTTGTTTCAAGATATTCGCACCGCCCCTGACCTTCCCTTGGCCCCTGCTGTTGTCTGTGGACACCGCCTCGTGATCGACCGTCCGGGCTTGACACTGCTGGGCCCCACCGAGAACGTGAGTGGCTTGGGAGGAAGCCGCCATCCTAGATATTCCCTGGGGCTCTTTTCCCTTACTGGATCTGCGCTGCAAGTTGGCCTGTTATGACTGTTGCACAGAAGGGAAAGGCATGGCCGAAGAAGCAAAATAATGCAAAGTTAGCATCAAAGGGTGTCCGCTTCGATGGCGTGCGGGCAGTCTAGACGCGATATGGTGATGTGGACAAAACTAGAGCCGCCCAATACGCAGGCGACCTGTACATCAAAACGCACTACGGGTGGAGAGCTTCTTGCTTTCCTCACCCTACCCCCGCAAAACCGTCAAATATTGGAACCCCCCCAACCGAACTCCAAGGGAATGTGTCGAGACAAACAATCTTCCACTGTTTGCAAGCAGGACAGGCTTTGGGGGTATCAAGATGTCAAGGATTCGGATCCCCGCGGTCAGCGAAAAACACACACACACACACACACACACACACACACACACACACACACACACACACACACACACACACACACACACACACATATCTTCGGCGCCCCCGACCTACCTGGTGCGCAGGAGAGATGCGGTGTTCATCGTCGTCGTCGTCGTCCTCCTCCTCGTCTTCTTCTTGCTGCTCATCTGGATGCTCACGTCGCCGTGGGCGGTCGTCTTCCGTTGAGGTCTCCGCCTGTCCTTGTCCTTGAAAACCCACGCAACGGTAACGTCGGGGTTTATCCTTGTCTTGATTTGAGGACACCTTGCCGTTGTTTCGGGACGACTCGGATTCGACCTCAGCCTGCCGAGTAGCAGAAGGTTCCGCGTTGTTGCCCGGGCAGCCGGGATCCCCGCCGAATTCGTGGGTGGTTTCGTCGTTCCAGGCATCCTGAACGGCCTCCAGATTGTGGCACATTTGAGGCTGCTCGTCGTCATATCAGCGATTTCCGCCACCAACCGTTCATGGGAGGCCGCATGCATCGGGAGCTACGCGCGGCAAAGAGTGGTGGGAAAAGGGGTACTTCCCGTGATGTGCTAGTAGGGCGTACAAAGAGCGTGCGCGTGAGAGCAATTGCTTGCACGCGCTGGGCGGCTCCCACACGGCAGTTGCAATTTACGCAGGCACAGCAAGACACACTCAACTTTTCAAGAAGGGCGCTTACTCAGGAACATGAGAATCACATTACTCGTGGATACAACTTGCCGTGGTGTCAAGCATACTACTATACGTCGATACCTCAGCACTGTCCCGAAGCTGTCGTCCGATGTTGGCTTCCGCCTCTCTAATTTCGGCAACGAGACACTTGGTCTTGTTGTGGGCGTTGATAGCTTCCTTGAGCTCGTTCTGCTTGGCGGCTGCAACGCTCTTGGCGGCGTTGAGCGATTCCTTTGCCTGTTTCGGCGGGGGAACAAAAAATTCACCCCGGTCCTTGCAGATGAGTGCGTCGCTCGCCGAAAGGAATTGATGCCAGCGACACAACTCAGGTGAAGAGAATCTTAAACCACCCGACTTTTCAAAGTATCAGATTCATGCTGTCACGGCAAAATGAATCTGAACCAAGCAGGAAAAACAAGCAACTTAGGCCAATTGTTATGGGGAATTCCAAATTGGAATTTCGGGGGGCTCCGTGAAAAAATGACGGCGGGCCCTTGGGAAAGTTTCCCATCAAACCCCCCGAATTCCAAAATATCCTAAGTTATGGAGCCGCGGGAATCCCAAAAAATTCCAATTTGGGGAATTTCGGCCGGATCGAGCTGGAATCCGCCGCGGATTCCAACTCGATGATGTAGCGTTCTGAAGGAAAGCGTTGTTTGTGGAAGGCGGTTTCAATTCGTGGGAAAAGGAGGGGATAGGGGANACATACGTCTCTCACACTGCCTACAGAGGGTAGCTTGTCAGGCACGATGCGACAATCGTCTCTTACACAGCCCGAACCGCAGTCGATGTTTGACACCTTGCGACATACGTCTCTCACACTGCCCACAGAGGGTAGC